GTCTAATGGGTTTTTCTGTTTTCTTGACACTCAACTTACATTTCCCAATTCTTAATTCAAAGAGTTTAAGGCCAGAAGGCACCACCAGATCATCTAGTGTGACCTCCTGTATATCAGGCCACCACACCACCCAGCACCCGCTCACTAAACCCAACAACCAAAATGAGACCAAAGTATCGCAGCCCACAGGAGACTAGATTAATATGTGCTGCAGGCAGAGAATAGGGTTGCCAACTTTCTAATCGCACAAAACCGAACACTCCTTTCCCACCTCCTGCCCTGCCCCTGCCTCACCCCTTCTCCGAGGCTCCTCCCCCTGCTCTCTCCATCCCCCCTCCCTCCCTCCCTCACTTTCACCGGGATGGGGCAGGGGGTTGGGGTGCAGGAGGGGATGAGAGCTCCGGCTGGGGGTGTGGGCTCTGGTGTGGGGCCAGGGATGAGGGGTTTGGAGTGCAGGAGGGGGCTCAGAGCTGGGGTAGGGGCTTGGGGTGTGTATGGGTATGTGTGATCCAGGAGGAAGTTTGGGTGCGGGAGGGGACTCCAGGTTAAGAGTGCTTACCAGGTCCCTGCGGCCCTTAGGCGCATGGGCGGCCAGGGAGGCTCCGCGCGCTGCCCTCGCGCTCACAGGCTGCCGCTTCGGGGAACCGTGTGGAGCTAGGACAGGCAGGGAGCCTGCCTTAGCCCCGGGCCCCCGCTGCACCGCCGACTGGATTTTTAACGGCCCAGTCGGCAGTGCCAACCAGAGCCGTCAGGGTTCCTTTTCGACCGGGCATTCCAGTCGAAAATCGGACACCTGGCAACCTTAGCAGAGAATGGGGGGACCAAGATGCACCAATGTTCAAGGCCCTCACAATGGCAGGGAAATGATTAAGTGAGAGAGACCCAGAAAATCTTGGCAAGAGACCCACACCCACATGCTGCAGAGGAAGGCGGAAAACCCCTGAGGTCACTGCCAATCTGTCCTGGGGGAGAATTCCTTTCCTATAGCGAACAGTTAGGCCCTGAGCATGTGAGCAAGAACCAGCCGGCCAAGCACCTGGCTTGTCATACCATCACTTCTTTATAGCCCTCGCAAGAAAATCAAGCGTAAATTAAATGGATTTATTATTCAAGTTGTTTACCCCAGCATGAAAATGCCTCTCCTCTCTTTAGAGCAGGCCTTTATTTTCTGCTATTCCCCACCCCCATAAGAAAATAAGGAAGAAGAATATGAATTTTGCCCTTTATTTGAATTTAGCTTCATCAGCAGCCCCCTGCCGATGTAATTCATCCCAACTACTTTTTTTTGATGAACTACTGTCCTTTCCCCCTCACATCAGGAATGGAAAGCAGGAGAGGAATTAGTTGAGTAGGAATTATTATCTAACAAGTTGCAGCTTCAGTCTGGGCAGGAATAAAATTTCAAAGCATAATAAGAGAATGTTATTAAGCTTTTTCTTCCCCTGAGACTGTCACAAAAACACTTTGTGACTGTCACGGAGAACTAACCGTTTTTTGCTTTCATTTCTGTTTTCTATCTCACATTTCATTACAGCTGTCCCTTCTGTCTTTCAGCTCGGGACCTGGGCCGCCAATGCAGATAACTCGACAACAAAATGCCCGTATTATCATTATATTTTTTCTTCTTCCACCCAGCAAGGTAATTGCAACCCTAAAAGCTTTTGCATATTTATAGCAGAAACATGTCTCCCCTGGAAGATGGGACTGTCATCAGGTGGAATATTTCATTCAGTAAGCCTCTTCTGAGGTATCAACTGGCTTTTTTTCCTCTTTTTTTGGCCTCCTTCAGAGGAAAGGACAAACAGATAAAAATCAGCTGCTGCAGTGCTACAGCTGTCAAAATTCCTGTTACTGTGAAAATTAACTCTTCCCCACCTCCCGGCTCTGCTGGGCTTTGCCTGTAATGTCTGAAAGCTGCGTTATTTGGGGGGAAAGGGGTTTGAAAAGCCCTCCTGTTGTAAAAGATGAACATCCTCTTTAGAAGTGGAGCAACTAATCTGCTTTTACATAAGAAACAGCTATTGCATCTAACCCATGAGCCAGGCATTTTGATCAAATCAGTCATCAAGTTATCATTTCACGGAAGTCATCATCATTTCAAGAAGTCACCATACCACTGTTCACTGCTGTTTCAGAGACTTATGACAACAGAGACAATTCCCGAAAATGTCTAAATGAAGCTGTCATCTGTAAGCTAATTCTCTCTCTGTATATAACAGAGGTACCACAGTTCTAAAGCCTTGGAATGCTCTGGGTCTAAGCGGCTGGGACAATAGGAAGGTTCTTGAGAGAGAATATCTGCACAGGAAGGTTTGCTTCCTTGAGTTAAGACATACTCCAAGGATGAAATTCACCCCAATGGGGCTGCACAAATAATACCTAACTCTTATGTAGCACTTTTCATCAGTATATCTCACAGCACTTCACAATCTTTAGCAATCTTTATCCTCCTAACCCCCTTGTCAGGTAGGGAAATACTATTATCCTACATTTTTACAGATGGGGAACTGAGGGACAAAAAGGCTAAAGGGCAAACAGGCAGTCTGTTCTGGAATAGGGAATTGAATCCAGGTCTCCCAAGTGCGAGGCTAGTGCCCTAACCCTCTTTCCTCTCTATGCACAAGGATTAGGTACTATGAAAGTCCTATATTACAGACTTAAGTAGAACTTAAATGGTGCATATGCCTTGTGTGTGCCCTTTGCACAATTCTGAATTTCACCCTAAGACAGCACCTGCCTGTGGTTAAAGGGTAAAAAGCACAATGAATGGAGATCAATAAACCTTAGCCAGGATGCCAGTCCCAACCCCACCCAGAAATATAGACAATACTCATTCATCCTTCTTACTGGCTGTGACATTATCCAGGGTACAATCTAGACAGATGAACTGCTGTGTCCCCTCAATTCTCCAGCCTGCGGTTCAAGAGAGAGAAAGTCTGTGGGGACGAGAACTTCCAGCAGTTTCTTTTCCTCTTAACCGGGTGATAGTCCATTTGATTTTGTCGACACCTGACTGAGGCATCAGTTTGCCTTTTGTCTTTGAGGAACTGGTTTGTGCCTGCTTTTCTAAAATTGGAACATCTCAGTAATGTTATATAGTAGAATTTTATAACTTTACATACAATGTTGCCACAAATATTTTATCAGGACAATAATGATCAGCAAATTATGAGTTTTCAAATGATACCTCACAAGGCATACTCTGTACAAAATTCATCATAGTCTTGTAAAAGGGGTGAACATAAGAGTACAGACTGTCACACTGAGTAAATTTCAAACACTGAAAATAAATTACCATTAAAACAAAGTTATATACTAAAATGTGTTCCGGTATGGCCTGACCCACAGCCCACTGCAGTCAATGAGACTCTGACTGTGGACTCCAATGGGGTTTGCATGGGGCCCACAGCCTGGAAAACTACTATTTCAAGGCAACTGTTGGATTTGGACAACTTCTTTATTTGGTTGCACATCATTTTTATAAAGTACAGTAACTCCTCACTTAACGTTGTAGTTATGTTCCTGAAAAATGCAACTTTAAGTGAAACAATGTTAAACGAATCCAATTTTCCCATAAGATTTAATGTAAATGCAGGGGGTTAGGTTCCAAGGAAATATTTTTGGGGCAGACAAAAGGCATTATATACAGTACTGTACAGTGGTGGGGAGGTGCCCCTGGCTTCCCCTGGGGCTCAGGACTGGGGGTGCAGGGTCTGGGAGGGAGTTGGGGTGTGGGGGGGCGCTCAGGGTGGGGGGTGGGGTCTGAGAGGGAGTTAGAGTGTGGTAGGGCGCTCAGGGTGGGGGTGCGAGAGGAGGCTCAGGGCTGGGGCAGGCAGGAGGGGCTGAGCACTTACCTGGGGCAGCTCCTGTTTGGTGCAGGGGGTGTGCAAGTGGCTCTGCGCAGTGCGGCACCGCCCCCATGGCCGCAATTCTGGGAGCCGCAATTCTGGGAGCTGCCCCCTCCCCACCCGGCAGGCAGAGCCACCCAGAATGCAGGGGCTTTAGCGCTGCTTCTCTCCGGCCGGCTTTGAAGGGGAAACGCCGCTTCTCTCCGGCTGCGCGGCTGCCCCTGCTCCTCCTGAGTCCTCCGGCCGGTGCTTGCAGGGCCACATTCCAAAAGGGGCTTTAGAGCTGCAGGCCAGGGCCCCGGGGTCCCCTTAGCCCAGGGCCCTGCAGCCCCTAAAGCCCCTGCGTTCCGGTTGGCCCTGCCTGCTGGGGGGGGGGGCAGCTTCTCCGCTCGCTCACTCCCTCTCTCCCTCCCTCCCAGAAAATCCTAAGCGCCGCCAAATAGGCGGGGGAAGCGCTGGGAGGGAGGGAGGAAGGGAGGGGGAGGAGGCGGAGAAGAGGAACTTGTGCAATGCTCCCTTGTAAAGTCAGCCAAACGACGTTATAAGGGAGCATTGCACAACTTTAAATGAGTATGTTCCCTAATGAAGCAGCAACATAACTTCGAAACAATGTTAAGTGGGAGGACGGTAAGTGAGGAGTTACTGTACATCATTTCAGCTGTACAAAGAAGCCTGTAAATCTGGTTATTTATATTTAAAATGCTAATTCATTGTTTGGGGTAAAAAAAACTTTCTAAAACCAAACCGCTGTAGCTTGCATTGACTTTGCAGGGAAATGCACCAACTCAACAACTCTGAGGATCTGGCTCACACTGTGGAATCAGATACAGGAGTATTGGCGGTGGGGGGGGGGATGCTTTTCTAAATTATCTTGTCAGTTTTAACTGACAAACTCCTTTTTTAATCAGTCAATTTTTGAAGGTTATTTGCAAATTAACAATGGTTTTTAAGCCACATCACCCCAAGATGTTAAATTACTTTTCTTTCATTTTGACAATGAACATACAGCTCATCATGAGAGTCCAGCCATCACAATTCAGCATTCAGTACATACACAAAAGATGGCAAGAAAAAACAGCTGACCATAGAGGTTTTTATAGAACCTTCCAGAAAAAACATCTTCCTTGACATTATTTGACACAACTCTCTTACCTGTAATATCTGGATTGAAGGTAGGTTGAACACACAGCCTTAGACACGTGGCTAGCTGAACCAAAGTCTATGACCTTGACCCTGTATGGTTGTCGGGATGGGTCTACCAACATGATGTTCTCTGGCTTGAGATCTGCATGAATCAGTCCCAAGCTTTTCAGCTTCATTAAGGCTGTTGCTACCTGCTGGAGGATTGGCCGGATGTACTTAAGGGGCAAAGGGCTGAATTTGTTTTGCTTTAGAAAATCATAGAGGTTCTGCTCCAACATTTCAAAGACCAAGCAAGTGTGATTTTTGTGCTGGAAGCACTCATAGGCTCGGACAAAGTTGTAGTCATCTGCACTTTCCGTACTCAACCGGGCCAGGATGCTCACTTCAATCTGACCTTGTCGGGCATAGGAAGGATGGTTCTTAAGGATCTTGATAGCTACAATCTCATTAGTGCCACGTTTCCAGCATTTGACCACTTGCCCAAAGGTTCCCCGGCCAAGAAATTCTAATACTTCATACGTGTTGGTCATTGAACACAGCACTTCATGTTGTACCAGCTGGTAATCCCCTTCACTGTTGGAGCCACTGTTTTTGGATGTAGCAGTGGATGTGGTGGCAGTGGCTACCGTGGCCCCACTGGCATTGTTCTGAATCATTGGTGGATGCTCTTCAATTATCTGCACGCTGCTTGTGTTCTCAATTTCCTCACTCTTGCGCTTAAGTCCACATTTTTGGTAGGTGTCCAGAAGGCTCACAGTGCTTCGACGCATCAGGTTGTGAGGTCCGCCCAATGCTTGCCCAGACACTGCAACGACACCGGAAGTGCTGCTGGCAGATGTCACCACGATGTGCCCCGTGCTTGCTGGAAAGATGATGGTCTGTTCGTAAGGGATACTCGGGTTGGGAATCTGGAGGGAGGCGTTGACTGCTGCTGCTGCTGCTTGAGAGGACTGCACGTTCTTGGTCTGGCTGTAGACTTTGCTATGTGTGCCGTACCCAGTCATATCCCAGTTAGAACTCGGTTCCACTTTCAGTTTCTTCACACTACAGAAGGCACTTGATTGAAGGGTGTGAGGGGAGAAAACTTGCACATGCGAGGCCATACCTGCAACATAACATTTAAAGAAACAACAGTGTCAAGATTCTTTCCCTAGCTTTTTATTCATTTCAGTTGCAATAAGGGAAAATGGGATGATGGGGAGGGAAACTTCAGCAACAGCTAGAAAATGATCAGGCTCTTACAAACCGAGAGACGTATCCATTGCAAATAAAGTGCAGTACAGTAAAACAAAGGGTCAGTACTAACTGAATCATATAAACTAATAGCAACTATTAGTCTCCCTCTCTCCTTTTTTAATAACAACCTAAGGATTAGGTTTACCTTTTGCAACTAAACATCCTTCTGGTCCCATTATCTCCAGCAACAACTTAGGCTTGTCTACACTTACCAAGGGATCGACACGCAGTGATCGATGCATCGGCAGTCGATTTAGCGGGTCTAGTGAAGACCCGCTAAATCGACCGCAGATTGCTCTCCCATCGACTCCTGTACTCCACCTGAACGAGAAGCAAAAGGGGAGTCGACAGGAGACATAGCGTAGTGTGGACCCTGCGGTAAGCAGATCTAAGTACGTTGACTTCAGCTACGTTATTCACGTAGCTGAAGTTGCGTAACTTAGATCAATCTCCCACTGTAGTGTAGACAAGGCCTTGGCATTGATGGAGAGATGGTGTAGTGGGGTACTGAAATAGTCTTTTACCTCCGCAGACCAAAGTTCAACCCCTGATGTATGTCATACATGACATCATTTGGGGAGAGGGGGGGTCCTCACTCAAGTCCTCTTTCTGTACACATAAAACCACTGTACAGTTCATGTTTTCTGCTTAGTAGAAGTCCAGGATGGGAATAGGAAGAGGTGTTGAAAGTCAGCATTGAGGTGTGCTGACAGAGAAGTTTGTGGACCCAGGACTGGAATAGCTGGTGATGTTTCAAGTCACAATTGAAGTCCCTTGCCAGAACTGTATGTGAGAATCTTGCATAATGCTTGTCAGCATTTATGGATAGTGAAAACAGGTATTATGCAAAGATTAGCCTTAGCTCCTGCTATCAGTTCCCTTGGTTTCATAAATCACAATGGGCCGCATTTTTTCCATTCACATTCACAATGAGTAGTGCCATAGCTGGAAAGTAGATCCTGCTGAAAGTTAAAAGGACTGGTCTTGGAATAAGGTAACATTTGGCATGAGTAAGAGAGCAGCAGAATCTAGCTCTAAATTAACGCAAAATGTTTAAAAAGACATAAATCTATTTTCCTGCAATCTTTTTCTTTGAATCTAAAAATGTTAACAATCTGTAGATATTTATAAAAACAACATAACAGAACCTAATTACCCAGGTACTTAAAAAACAAACAAACTAAACCTTGTGGTTAGAAAGGCACAAATGTGGGAACCCCCCCAGAGCCCATAGAAGGTGGAAGACTAAGTACAGAACTTCTCCCAGGTTTCTCCTCCCAGTGTGGAGACTATAGGGCTGGCAAGAAGAATTAGTGAATTGCACAAAGCTGAGTGTGGATTTGTATTTAAGAAGCCGACACTATGAGTGAGTTAAAGCAGAAAGCCATACCCCTCCTCAACCCCTTCTCATCAAGTGTTGCAAATCTTTGTTTTGTCATAAACCCCAAGAATGACAAGGGAGGGGAAAAAACCAATATGCTGTTCTTCCATCATCACTGAATTTTTAAGAGCAAACATACCTTGACTTGTTTTCAATTTAAAAGGAAAATATTTGAAGGGTGAATGTTTCACTAACAAAAATATAACAAAATCAACACATACACAGATGACCTGAAGCATCCTCCCAGGTGAGGGGAATTGAGAGTGCACAATGCTCAGCATTTTTTCCTCATAATTGCTGAGAGAAACCAGCTCTCTTCTAGCCCATTCCCGGGTGTGTTGCTATGTTCTAAAATCTTTTTATGTTTGTGTATATATAGTCATATATATATGTAGCTACATATATAGTTACTTCCTAGTTTCAAAGCTGATTAGCACAGAGAAAAGAACTCAGTTAAGCAAACACATACACAAATCTTTCAGTTAATTCCCAGGAGCCAGAAACCAGGAACCTCTTATGAAATAACTGAGGTGAGCTGAAAGTGCATTCGGTGTAATTGCATGTAAATGACAAGCATGCAGAGGTGAAAGTAGGCCAGTACGGTGTACTGGTAAGAAGTGGTCGCCGGTACGGGCCCGTACACAGCTGACGTTAAAGCGCTGCCGTGGCAACGCTTTAACGTCGTGGCCCCTTTTGCCCCCCCAGGGCCACCGAGAGGGGGAGCAAAAGGGGCAGCTGCCCTGGGCCCGATGATTTAAAAGGGCCTGGTGGCCGCCGCTTCCACACCCAGAGCCCCAGGCCCTTTAAATCACCACCAGAGCCCCGGGCGGCGCAAGCTGGGCAGCGCTGAAGGGCTGGCTGGGGGAGGCTAACCCATAGCCCAGTCACTTCCACCCGAGGCCCCACCCCTTCCAGGGCCCAGAGCCAGGCCCCTGTACTGGTAAGACTTTTAAATTACTTTCACCCCTGCCAGCATGCTGAGCACTCTACTTTGCTCCAGAATCCCTATATTCAGCCCTGCTGCCCCAAGCAGCGTTTAAAGATAGAGCAAAGTCAAAGAAACATGTAATCAGGACAAGGGGAACACCCACCCCAACACCAAAACCTGCTGTGTAAAGCTCCTGTAACCTCTAGCGATGAAGCAGTACAGATGGCTCTTGTCTACCGATGTGACCTCTAGCTTTAAGGTGATTTTCTACACTGTTTGCTGACACTTGTATAACAAAAACAACCTCCAAGGTCCCTCTTACTCAGTCTCCTGGGCTCTTTCAACCCTTCTCCCACAGCGCCTGCTTTCCTCCCTACTTTCCACAGGGTGACAATGTTGCTATGAATGACTTACCATGTGGTACACAATGAGCTCAGAGAATGCAGCAGAATTACTCAACTTGTCATCCTGGACACCAATATCATATGTGAGGCAGAGGCAATGTTTGTTTTTCCACTAATTAAAAAGAGTCACAGTGTTCATTCTAGTACTGACCTTTCTGGGGTAGTAGGGTGGTTGGATGCATGTTTTCCCCCGGGACATGAATAATAAAGCAGAGGTAATTGGTAACATATTGTGAATCTAGTAGAGGTGTAATTTATAGCTTTATGGCTTTCACTCCAGTCTGCTTGCTCACCATCTCTAAGGTTAAAAAACCTGACACAAAAAAGGGGAGAGAGCCATAAGAGATATCCCTAAAAATAACTTTAAATGATCTAGTCACCCCAAAATTAAAGCCAGCGATACAAAACGCATCAGCTGTAATTATCTAGGTTAGTGGTTCTCAACCTTTTTGGGCTCAGGAACCATTTGTAAACCTTGATGGCCTCTCGTAAACCAGTGAATAGCTTTAGTGCAAAAAAACATTTCACTTACTAAATATATCTTACCCACGATAAATAATATACACATTGATGTAATAAGTACTAAATAAGTACACCATGTGTACCAGAGTGGCATCTCCTGCATCTCCTATCCCTATCCTGCAGGGCAGGCTGGGCTCAGCTCCCTGTTCCAAACGTTGCAACCTCTGGGGTCACAGCGCCACTCAGGTTTGGCCTGGTGGATGGGAGGTCACCAGGCCAAATTTATGTGAGTGGTGCTGTCACCTGCCCTGCCACATGGGGTCACAGAGCCACTCTCCAATTTGGACCTCCACCCCCCCCCCCATCATGATGGAGGGACAGCTGGACCAAACCTGAGCAGCACTGTGACCCCATGCACCAGGTTGCAACACCTGAAGCAGGGAGCTGAGCCCAACCAGACCCATGAGACCAGAGCTGCAGGAACCACCACTGCAGGAGTAGTGTGGGGTGTGTTCTATAAAGCCCGTGGGCCTCCCCTCCCCCAGGGCAGGACCCGACACCCCACCCCCAGGACTCCCGTGCAACTGTTTGACAAATTCTGGTGAGCCAATTATGGGTCGTGACCCATGGGTTCAGAAACCCTGATCTAGGTGCTACTGTAATTAATAGCCATCATTAAGGGCCAGATCCCCAGTTGGTGTAAATTGGCATATGCCAGTTTACGTCCTCTGAGGATCTGTCCTGATACCAACCAGGGTTAGCGGTCACTGAAAAATTGCTGATGTCAAATCACTGTATATGCCCCTTAGTGAAATAAGTTGGTGGTTTCAGTCCCGTTTCCCTGGAGACAGAGCCACATTTAAAAATCCCTCTGCACCAGACACCCTTCTTCGTAGTCTCTACAGAGAGAACAAACACAGAATGAGCATAGAAACTGAACTACTGTGTCACCAAAAGAACACGTCCCTCAGATAAAGGCTGTGGACAATGAACAGTGGCTGCCTACACTGTACTTGACTTCTGGCTAAATAGAGGGCTCTGAACCTTTCACTCTCCATGAGGCACAACATTCACTAGAACAGTGGCTTGAGAGACTACTGTACCCCTTTCAGGAGTCTGATTTGTCTTGCATACTCCCAAGTTTCACCTTACTTAATAACTACTTGCTTGCAAAATCAGACATAAAAATACAGAAGTGTCACAGCACACTATTACTGACAAATTGCTTACTTTCTCAGTTTTACCATATAATTATTAAATAAATCATTGGAATACAAATATTGTACTTACATTTCAGTGTATAGTATATAGAGCAGTATGAACAAGCCATTGTATGAAATTTTAGTTTGTACCGACTTCGCTAGTGCTTTTATGTAGCTTGTTGTAAAACTAGGCAAATATCAGAGTTGCTGTACCCTCTGGAAGACCTCTGCGTACCCCCAGGGTATGCAGACCCCTGATTGAGAACCACTGCACTAGAATAGTTTTTCTTTTAAAAGAAATATTACATCTCCCTCCCTTTGCTGAGATGATTTTTTCACAGCTGATATTTTGGGGGTACATGACATAGGAGAATGGCTTGGCTAGCTGCTCAATGTAGTTTGTGACAAGAAATTATTGTCTGACTGACAGCCAAGGGGTGGGAAAGAGTGTAATCTTTATTGTAATGTGTCTGCATGTCTAATGAGAGAAAC